TCTCTCACTTTAAACGAGGGTCCTTAGAGGCAGAAAGCTGCAGTCATTTGTATCAAGTCATCTCTGAATTCTGTGGAGAGCTGACCTAGGAGGAAGCTCTTCCCAACGCAGGGCTCCTTCACAGGGACTTTACGTTACTGTCTAGGTTGACTATGGGTGGAAAATCTCACTTAGAAAATTTTAAAAAGACAAAAAATAAAAATGAAAAAATGTTTAATATTAGGTAAAAATATCCTCCTGGAAAGTAATGGAAAAATGAAGTTACCCTGTGTCATGGGTCAGTGTTCCTATTTTGGAGAATTAGTCAGAAGCTTATAACACATGTGCAACCTAGCCGATATAACCAGACCAGGCAGGGTAAAGTCTTCCTGACTCTTGGAAGAGACCAAAATAATCAATCAAGGGATTTTGTAATTATCCTCCTGACCGTGCCCTTAGTTAAAAACTCCAGGAGCAGGAGCCAAGAGGGGCGCTAAGGCAAGCCAAACAATTGGAGACCATGGTGTTGTAAGGGCCGGAGCCGCATGCTCCCCAGTCATAGCAGGAAGGGAAAGAGACTCGATCTTGTTGGAGGAAGGATGAGATGTGTGAAAATTGTTTACTGATTTTTTTTATTGAAAGAGGCCATTTTTGCAATGCTAACTGCCCAATCAGCAAGCCTCACGCTTCAGTTATGCCTTTGAGGCTAAAACACATGATTCAATTTGCGTATGTTGGATTGTGAAAATGTGAAGCATGAAATGTACTCTATCATTGACTCTACTACTCCTTACACAACTTCTGCACCTAATCTGTGGAATGTTGATATTTAACATTTGGAATATTTATCATAGGCTTAGTGTGTTTTCTAACTAATTCCGCATTTAATATACATACATTGAAATGTTAGGTAATAAAAATGAGATGTTACCTGCTGTCTCACAAATTTGCCTTTCCACTCTTACTAACCCCTAGGATCAGATACTGTTTTGATCATTAACTTTAAAACTAGATGAACAGGTGGCTTTGCCCATTTGTAAACAGGTGTGTTAACTTGTCCCTGGAGAACAGATACCTCATTTCTTGGCTGGCACTATGGGTGTGGGTCTCTTAGGGAAAAGGATTGTTTTTGAGCTAACATAATCCCAGTAACAGCATATTAGCTAAAAAAAAAAACACTTGGGCAGCAAAACTACCTTCATTCTTGTTCTCAGGACTATGAAAAGAATTGCGAAACGTCTTGGAAGATTCAGAAATTCAGTGGAAAATTTCACACGTTAATTCAGTACCTAATGTGCCACATTAAACAAAGGACAAGTAAGAGATTGATCTGAAATATATCTGAGCAGATTATTAAGATTTTATTTCACATTATATACAAGAACCTAGCATCAACCAACCCTCCTCACTTTATATAATCGCAGAATTCCATTTTTAAGCAAAGACATGTGGCTTTTTGATGCTTGAGCTCCTTAAATTTCCATACTCTGAGAGAATATAAAATGCGAATTCTAACCCAACTTGTCTTTTACAGGGTATAATGGCAAAATTCTTAATTCTAAATAGGCAGGTATGTGCAATCAGGTCTGACTCAAGGGAAATGTGGCAAATAGTCATTTGAATTGTCTGAAATACATGACCAGTTTCTAATTTGAATTCTCCTCTCCTCTTTGTTTTGATGTTTCTGCAGCCAATGGTGAGCCGGTGGATAACCAGGTTGGCCGCCCCTTTCAGCTGTCTGCACTGTGACAGGACTGCTTATGTCACTGAGAAGGCAGAGACAAGTGAATATGACACAGGGGATCTTCCTGTTTGCTTGGAAGGTTGGCCCTCGGTCAATAACCTAGGGCTTCACCATGCCAAATCCAAAATGTTCTGTTGTTGATCTCTGGTATCAACAGCTCAGAAACTGCAAAACAGACCCCCGACAGTTACCAACACCCTCCTCCAAAGAGCATTCTGTTTACTGTTTCGTGTTTTCTCAGGTAGGCGAAGGCTTGCTGCGATTGTAACTCTGAATAATGGAAGGGGACAGGGAACGTGTACTTAGAAACCATGATGGATGAGGGCTGACTATCCAGAACCTTCAACAATGTGTAACTCTTGATTCTGTAAGCAGTCAGTACCCTGAAATCACACGTGCCGTCGAATAGAGAATATGGGGATTCAATGCAATGCTGTTGAGTGATGAGTTTTGGAATGGTCACCTGGATTCCCGAAGTGCTGATTACCCAGGAAAGGGGCCTCAAGGTTCACCCAACTCTTCTTCTTAAGTCATAAGAATGCTTTAATCTATTTCAAAATGCATTCAAGAAAAGTAAACCTAGAAGTATTTATGATTACCCTTTATCAGAAATATGCATATGTGTACACACACACACACACACACACACACACACATTACCTGACATTTGTGGGGCAGAAATTTGTTACTCTTTTCTATCTCATTTGGCTCTGCACATAGTAGGTGCTCAATATATGCACATTGTATTAATTATTCAGTTATGGTGCTAAGAGGGAAAGGAGGTGCTGACCTTAAGGAGTCTCACCTTTTGTCTTCAGCATTGACTTTGATATTTTCTTTCTAGAAGAGGACAGTGAGGAGAGCCCCTGCCTGCCCACCATTGTTACTAACTCCAGCTGGTCTGTCACTGAAAACTTTAAAATGCAGAATCTAAAACTAATTAATATATGTACAAGTAGGTTTGGAGGGAAGGAGAACAAAAGGGAGAACTGCTACCCCAGCGGCTGAAAAGTCCCAGTGGGGTGCAGACAGTCCCCTGATCTTGAGCACCGAGCGTCTTCCCAGAGTGACGTGTAACAGCCCCAGAGCCTCTGCCCTGGGCATGAGGGTCTTGGTGTTGGCAGCATGTCAAGCCTCATCTGTGGCTGTCTTTTCCCTGCTTTCTTTAGTATGCTTGGTCTTGGGAAAGTGCTCATACAATACGAGGCTGAGAGGGATGGACAGGGTTAAATTCATAACGTGGTGCTCATTCACACCACATTAGCCATAGGGACACTACAATTAGGCATAAAATTTTATTTCTGTGAAATATACTCTAAGTCCTAAAAAAAAAAGAAAGCCAGCAAAGAAAATAATTTCCCTTGGGGGGTTGGGGAAACAACCAAAAGCCAAACCAGGTACTCTTGAAGGCAAACAGCACAGCATTAGAACAACTACCATCATTGACACCAACCTACAGGACACGAGGCCAAAAACAGGTTTGAATCCAGAAAATACAAGCCATTATGACTTATCCTATTGATCACTGAAAAATCAGAACCACGGAATAATACACCGAGTTTCTAAATTTCCAAGTTATTTCCAAGTACGAGTGGTCTCTGTCTCATGAAGGAAGTCGGTAAGTCTATCTGCAGGAAAACCTGGTTCAGATGAAGCCACAATCAGCTGCCACTGGCACGGACAGCAGAAGAGTTTCATTCTTGCCATCCCTTATAATCATTTCCCCCTCGTTCCTGCAACTGGTGATGAGCAACGCTTTCCACGACCCAGACAACAAACAGCTGGATGGATGCCAGGAGACCATACATCCGTGGTCTACCATGCCCTTTTTAATCAACTTCCTAATTAAAAAATGCCATGCTGGCATGAGGTATGAAGGGAGTAGGCTTGGAATATATTTTACAAAATAGCATCCCCTAATCCTGGGGTTGTTGAAAATCTGTGTTCTTACAGATGTTGATGAGTTTTTCTGGTGCAGAGATAGAATCAATTTGCTTGTGCCTGGCCCTCAAGACGTATTAAATTTATCCTGGAGGAAACTGGATTCTGAAAAGCTCTTGCCCAGATGCATTAGGGCAGGTGGGAGTTTCAGAGAAGCACAGGGTCCACCGGCAGATGCGGCACTGATTTCCGAATGTTCACAATCTACCAGACAGCTCCAGAGCAGACTCGGTTTGATGGCTCTCTATGGGGTGCCCTGCAGACTCGATTATTTCTACAACCAGTCTGGCTAGCATTGTTTCATGGCGACAAAGCTCTGTGCTTTCAGCTTCTGTTCAGATGGCACAGGCTGGTGGAATACGTGCACCAGGGAGGGGAGGTTGGGCCAAATTTAAAGTCAGCCTCTGAGAATGGTCCATTGCTTTTAGGGTTCAGTGGTGTGGTAGCCCCTGGAATCAAGAGGTGATGCTGACTTTTGAAAAATCTTTCTGTTGAGGGCCATTAAAACACACTATGCATTTAGGTTGAGATAACGGCATGAAGGCACCACTCAGAACAGTGTTTGAGCTAGAAATCCTATAATGAAAATCTTTGTCAATGTACTAAAAAAAAAGACCCCCATAAATTACTAATTCATGAGTTGTTTGCTTTAGAGTCCTAAACCTGACATTCCACACTTGAAAATTTCTCAAGCAAATGCCCAATATCCTTGAGGTAATTTTCTTTGAAGCAATTGGAGTGTTCTATGTAAACAGTCAGACTTCAGTAAAAAGCAGTCAGTATACAATATTGAGTCCTAAAGTTCTTTCAACTATATTAATGAGTGCACAAACACATCTAAAGCAGGCTTACATGGCACACATACTAACCCTATGGCTCAAATATTGTCAGCTTACACACATTTTCACACTGGCATTTTAAAAATATACACATGCATGCACTCACAAAACCATGGAAGAGAGGAATTATAGTACCCCAAGAGTCCAAAAATACACAACAGTACTGAATTTTAAAGGGAATACAGTCAAATAACCTTTTTAATAAAAAACATTTACCTGGTTTTTTTTTTCATTCACAATCAATGGAAACCCCACCAAAGCAATGCCCTCTGTGGCTTCGGTGAGCAGAGCAGGCCCACTGAGACAGCAGACGCCCCACACTGACCAGCATTGCCTACACAGGGCATTTAGGTAAAGGAGGGCTTCATCTTTGGACTCACACCTTGGAATCACATCAATTGATTAAAAATTTTGCCATAAAAGGCTGCTTTTCTTTCCAAAGTTGACACTCAACCTTAGAGTCCAACTAGACAGGGAAAAATTCCCTCAGAAATCACCTTTTCAGACAGGTGCACATCAGCCTGTTTCCAGTCCTGGGACCTTTCCGTGTCTTTGCCTGTGAGCCTGCTCCACGGCCTGAGAACAAACGTGACAGAGAGTGGCACGTGAGGCTCCGTGGAGTGGAGACTAACATGACACAATTTTGACCCTAAGAAAAAAACAAAACAAACAAACAAACAAAAACCAGCTGGGCTCCACCTTTGAAGGCAGCCAGGCACAAAGAGCATCGGAGAAGGGGCTTTCAGGGATCTCCACATAGAAATGCACAAGGTGAGCTTAGAAAGTAAATGCTGATATTTTGCCCCAAGAAAGTTATAAACCACCATCATAAAGCTAAAAGCAGCTACATTAATCATATAAAGCTTGGTTCAACTCTAACATGAAATGTAGCCATGAGAAAATAATGGAACTATGACTTTATGACTTTTCTCTAGGTAAGATTTCATGAATCTGCTTGAAAACAATTTGATATTTAAAACTGCTTGAGTTACATTTTTAAAAACTCAATTTTTTCCTCATTCTAGTTTACCAGCAAATTTAAAAATGAAATAGAAAAAGAAATGTGTCTGTGTGTATAAACACACACACACTGAAAAAACAATAGATAATTTACCTATTATGCAGAAAAAGCTCAATGTGAGTACTAAGAAACTTGCAGGATGAGAGGGAAAATGATGAAAACCAAGTTTCAGCAGCTTCACATGAAGAGTTAATATGTTTTTCCATACCTTGTGTTTGAGCTTTAGATTCGTTAAAGGTGGTTTCCTTATTTTTTGAAAAGATATATTTTTTTAAACAGAAAATATTTTCCCCTCCCCCCAAAAGTTGTATTTTCTGTCAGATATTCACTGTTATTGTTTAAAGCAAACAGCTAAAGTAAAGCAACTCTTTAGAAAAAAAAAGCTTAAAATAAAAGCAAAATAAGATAAAGTGATCTAAAATATTCAGGAATCTATAAAAAAGACAGTTAAAGAATAACAATTTCTACTTGAGTTCTACCTAAAAAGCAGGTGAAATAATTAGGTCAGTTAAAACGAAAAAAACCTTGCCTTTTAGGGAGAATCGGAATTATTAAAACAGGATAGAACTATTTATCTGTGAATTCCCCCAGATGGAAGTATATTTAACTAAATATTAAAACACCCATATTGCAGTAGTACAGTCACAGAATTATATAAGAAATGTGTCACTGATGACAATAGAAAATTAGGATTCCAGCAGGCTCTTTATTCTTACTTCTCAACTCAGAAGACTGATTTGCAAAAATGATCTCCATTTTTCTGAAAAGAACTGAGAGTATCACTGTGTGCTAATTTCTACATTTCCTAGTTGTAGATTCTACAGATCAATAGAAACTTCAGTTCAATTTTCACAATCTCCAGTAAGTTGCTGGTTAAATTAGCTAAAATCATCTTCCAGCTAGGAAAAATACATACTAGTCAAAACTAATTATGTCTGGGCTTTAATTGAAACAACATTTGCTAATTTTGCTGGTCTCGATGCACGGTTTCAGAAAATATTAATTAAACACATTGAATAATGGCTGCTGTAAGTTTCTAAAAACAATCATCTCTAAACAGTTAATTTCCACTTCAGACACATGCACACGAAGACGGATGCAGCCGCTACCCCAAACCAGCCGCAAATGACTATTCTTTTGTTACTGACCATCAGGAGTTGAACTTTGCTCCACTTTGGGAAGCGGAACAAACGCTCTGGAGAAGACAGGGAGCACAGGACATATTTACCTGGAGGGGATATCAAAGAGCAGCCTCAAGACTTGCAAAACAAAGTCGTCCCAGTGAATTAGCTGTGCCTGCAGCCGCACTTGGCACCTTCGGCTAAGCCAGTGTCTGACAAGCAGTTGTTCCCACGGCAGCCACCCCTGCCTTCCATCTTAGGGACTCACCCAGAAAATTCTCCAACCTGCTCCACGACTACAAAACTCTTCTAATGCTTTTGAACGCCCACCATTTGTTCTCCATTCATCCAATCAACTTTCCACTGCACATCTTCTCTCTCTACCGGCGCCCAGGCAAGGGGCCACTTCTCATCTGTATGCTAATTATTTTGCCACATGGACAAAAGTAATAATGCTTTCAGACAGGAAACTAACAGGCCTGAAGTCGAAGATGGAAATTAATAAGTTGACACCACTAAACGACAGGGAAGACGGGCATGCGTACAGCGCTCTGCCGGGCGGGTGAAGCGCAGCCTCCATCAAAAGGCAGCAGACAGCGCCGGGCTGCGAGTCCCGCCTGTGCTGCGTGCACCAGGCTCAGGCTCCCTCAGAGACCACATCGCTGCAGCAGAAGAGCCTCGGAAGCATCCTGCTGACTTACCCTGTCTCAGGCTGCCTCCTTGAAGCAACACAAAACATGTCCACTTCCCCAAACCCTAAGGTGGGAGGGAACTTCACTGCTGATCTAGATATTTTTCAAACTACAGCTGTGGATCAAACCAGCAATTTCTAACCTTCCTGTGTATCAACCTTGCAACACAGGCAGACACGAGTGGAGATGTGTGCTGTATGCTGCTTGCCTTGTACCCACAGGCCCCTAAATCTCTAGAGCAGAATGTGTATCATGAGCAGTGCTGTATTTAATGTAATAGATGAGAACTGTAAATACCGGAGTCAGGCTGTTAGCAGCTACCAGCTAGGCAGTCTATCTAAAAATATCTCCCCTATCATTGATGTTATGGTAAATTCATGCTGTGGCCAAAGAAACCTCACAGAAGTAAGCTGAACCTACAGTATTTTAAATGGCATTACCGGTTAACATCCAAGCAAAACAAAAAGAGGTTCCAAAACCTGTCACTTCTTAAAATAAAAGAATGGTGACACAAGAGTTAACTCTAACTGATTCCTAAAATCTTTTTTGGGTTGCCAACCACACTATATTATTCTGTTTCAGTATGAGCTTCTTGTATCATTTTCTTTTAAAACAAAAGACACAAAACTTCTTGTCTAAGAAAGTTAAAACATTTTTCACCTTTTAGTATTGTTTGAAGAAAAAAATATAGACAAAGTTTTCTTTGAAAAGACAAGACCTTATAAGGTTTTTAAAATAACTAAGGGAACATAGATACCTGATGTTCATTAGCATTTTTTTCTGGCTTAAAAATGTGCTGATTTTATAAATGGCTTCTTGAATTAAGTCATAGATGTTTTACTCTGGTGGTGACTATACCGTTTCACTCTCTGCAAACCTCTCTCCTATAACACTCACCGTTATGAAAGGCTACATTAAATCATAAAGGCTACTTTAGCACCTCCCACCCTCGCCCCTGGAAACTAGCCTTGAATACACAGACTCATGTTTAACAACAACTCCAGGCAGTATGCAGACATATCGGTGCCCACAATGGCATTACACTGAAGGAGAAGCTCTTTTGAGAGAGGGTCCATTGTTGGCGTGTTCACATGCCAAACCAAGAGACTTTAGGAAGTGTTGTGTATGCAATCAAATGAGAGCTGGAGATAGGCAGGCAGGTAGAGAAACAACTATTTTTGAAGTACTTAAGAGAAGAACTGGGAACTGCAACCACCAGGCAAAAAAAAAAAAAATCCTATGTAACCTTTACAATAAAAGGAAAGAAGTACCTTTTTGTGGAAGAGCTGGTGGCCATCAAGCCAAATCCTGTTCCGCAGTCTGCTTCTCACCCACGCAGGGCTCTGTCTGCCGTGGAGAGACCATCGCACGTGCTGGTCACAGTTCCCTCTGTGTTTCCATTCCATTCACCCCTACCCTCTGGCGCCCGCACTTCACCAGCCCACTATCCACAGTGAGTGAGAGTCGAGAGCAGAACAGCACGAGGGAGCAGCCACTGCAGGCTTTCCACAGAGCACAGTGCTGACTGTGGTTTCCGTGGGGAGACTGACAGAGAAGCCCCAAGTTACCAGGAACACCCTCTTCCAGCTCTCAGAGGTAATTCCTCTGAAGACCAAGCTCTTCCCTGATGTGTTGGGACCAGACTTACTGGTTACTACAGAGACTGCAATTCCCTTCCTGTCGAGTCCTGCTAGACACCACTGCAGTCTGAAAGCAAGGAAAGCTTTAAGAAAATGTCCTGTATCATTCCATCTTCTCACAACACAATACTCCTTACACTGAGACTAAAATATTCACCCCCCCAACTTTTCTGATAATCACCACGTGGGGAGCAGAGATTATTTTAAAAGAAGTACATGGTTGGAAAATTTTCCTAGCAGAATAGCCTAATACAGCAATGTTTATCAGTCTTTCTCTATCTAATAAATAAGCATCTATGCATTCTTTCTAGTTTTATAACACCTGGCTTACATTTTCTCTGCCATCTCTGGTTACTTCCACAGATACCCTGAGGACTCATTATGATGTCAAAGCCAAAAACACTTCCATTGTGGAAACAGGCATAGAAAAATCATTGTGTATGCTGGAACAATGCAGGTGTGAAAGAAACACAGAGAGAAGAGAGGGTGGCAAAACAGACACACAGGGACTGAGTTAAAGAGAGAGAGGGCAGAAGAGAGAGAAAGGAAAGTGGAGAGAAAGAGAGAGAAGAGACAAGACACAAAGATATTACAAACTGAACCACATTGCATTGAAATAGCCCACTGATGGAAAAAATGGATAGCTGTTGCCTTTAAATAATCTAATATCAGAAAAAAATCATACAACAAATTACTGTAAAAGTAGAATATTTGTATTATTTCATATGAGTTATGGTCACTATAGGGAATATTTTAAGTATGGGGGTGGCATGCCAGTTTAAAATATCTTTTTCATACCAGCAACCCTGATATGTAGACATGACACTACCCCCAACCACACACACACAAACACAAACCTACATCTAATTTCTTCTTCAAGTTTGTGGTATCTTTTATCTTCAGTCTAGTTTGGAAGAAATGCAGATCCATGTCAGGTGTTGTGTAGAATACAGCATGATGAAACTTAGCTTGGTGAAAAATATGTTATTCACAAGTTTTTGTTCAAGTTTATCCTCAGTTACTCCTTTCTAAAGGATACTACACAACTTTTCAAATAAAAAAGAGGATATTCATAAAAAGAACTCTTAAAAACTTGAAAATAGGAAAATGCATAATGTCATTGCAATCAAATTATGCAATGGAGTAGTTTGATTATAAGAATTTAGCAAAACTGTTGGTCTCTGTTTCTGAGTCTAGCATTCATTTGCCTCCTGAACAGAGTTCTGGAAAGACTTCGCCTCAAGGTAGACTTCCTGGCAAAGGACAACACACATTTGAAAAACTGATTACTGATTGAAAATCATAGTCCTGGTCTAAAAGGGACACCCAGCCAAACCAAACTGTAAGTGCAGGGCAGAGTGGTCATTACCAAAGAGCGTCTGGCTAGTCCCCCTAATTCCACGGAGGAGATTTTTAATATAAAACATGTAAGAGTAGATAGGCCTTTAAGTTGTTTGAAGTTAAAACGTGTCCACCAAAATATATAACAAGTAAACAAAGTCTTTCAGATTATATATTATGTATTTTTAAAATAATATCTCTCCCTCAAATTAGATTGGCTTACAGGTAGAGTTGAAAATCTAGTTTATGCATGTGACTTTGAAAACATTATTTACTTGACAAAATTAATTTTTCACAGAGAAGTAATTGGCTTTTAAAAATTATACCTGTAAAGCATTTATAAAAGCAGTTGAGCAATCAGATTATTAACTCAATATTTTTAATTTTAAGTATAATTGTAACAAATAGAAAAACTTTACAAATCTTTGAGATTGCATAATCACTTGTTTCTTTTCCCTAATCTATTAAACATTGACACAGAAAGCAGACAGAAAACATTAGACAGTGAAATAATTGGGTATATTCAAGAGTAATGGACAAAATAGAAACATTTTCAAGAGAGTAAAAATTAAATAAACAAATTAGGTGAAAAACATAACAGGGACAGTGAAAACAGCATATTAAAGAAGTCTCATTCTATGAAAGTATCCACATAGTCCTAAGGTCATGCTTTGACAGCTTTTATAACCCCAAAGAAGACTATGTACTCATATTCCTTTAGGAATTTTTGTACACCACTCATATGTGGTCACAAATTATTGGGCCTTTACCTGGATCTCAGCTTCTAACACAAATTTGTGAAATTGGCATAAGTTCTGCAGCTGGATGCAAGTCTAACTAAAGAAAAGCTGAAATTTGTGTGTCATGCATACTTTCTGCCTGTGACACCAGATAGTCCTGGTGCCTCTTTTCAAAGATGAATTTTATTAATAATTACATGTATTTGGAGAAAATTTTACAGTTGAAAAGTAATAATGTTTATAATTTTTCAACCTACAACTATGCATATATACAAGTAATTTTTAACATATTGATAAGTTTGAGTATTTGGAAATAGAGTACAATGTGTGTGTAATGGCAGATGGAAAGTCTTTACTAAATAAAAATCTTCAAGTATAGATATCTTTGCTGCCACCATCTTCAAAACATCCAAATGTGACCATGAAGGCTTCTACTTCTACCTCAACTAGCACAATCATTAAGGTGATGAAAGTGAGCCATTTTCACATTGCCAATAAACTAGGAGGAAGTCAGTCACTGTTGAATGCAATCGCTATCAGCTGCGGACAGCTCCTGGTGCTGAAAGGGAAGGCAGAGAAGCCTGCTCACAATAGCTCACTCCACCAGCCTTTGAAAAATCACAGCAAAACTGAATGAGGTGGCAAGTGCTCAGCCTGAATAGCACTGTCTACAGAACAA